TTATTTTTTAAAAAAATTTATTTTTTTATAATTTTTAGATCTTAGCTATAAAATTTAAACCACCTTTTTCTGAAACTTGTCGCTGTATAGGAGATAATTATATTCATTATGAAATTTATGAAATTATTGAAACTAATAATTTTTGGGATCAAATTAAAGATTTAGTTAAAATTCTTACATCATATTGCAAGTTACTTAATATGCTTTAACGAGATAAAGCCCGTTTATTTGAAGTTACTTTTAGTATGGCTTATCTTGTACAGTTTTGGATGTCAAATTCTAATGATTGTTTAGCAACACAATTAATTAGAAGACTTGAATGACATTGGAATGAATAGGAACAGCCAATTTTATTATTATTAGTAATTTTACATCCCAAATATAGAATGAGTCAATTTCGAGCTACAGCAACTAATATTAGTTATTCTACTTTCGGAAATTGGCTAAATTATTATTATCGTGCATGGGCAGGCCAAGAACCAAAATGTATTCTTCGTGAATTTAATAATTTTCATTTAAAAAATTCTCCTTTTAATGATAAAACTTATCAACAGTTTGAAGATGAAGATGCTTTATCTTATTGGTGTTATGTCAAAAATGCAACTAATGAATTAGGACTTGTGGCATATAGAATTTTCGATATTTGTGTTAATGCTGCTTCAGTAGAACGATTGTGGAGCTGTATGGATTTTATTCAAACAAAACGGCGAAATCGATTAACAGTAAGCAATATTAGTGAATTTGCGAAATTGAGTTTATTTGTTTTTTTTTTATATATATATATATACATAAAAATAATTTGAGATAATTAATAATAACGATACAAAAATTTTGTACATATTATCATTGCTATTGTTAATTAATCCTGAAATTATTTTTATATATCAGGTATACTGAATAATTGATTGTGAGAAAAATTAATTGTGATTATTGTTATTTGAACTCAATTATAGATAATTAATTGGTGGCGCAGCCACAATAAGTCAATTAGTTGCAATTTTAGGTATGATAAATCATTTGTGTGAGAATAATATAATTAATTAGTAATTTCTTATTTGTCCTATACAATAATTTATCATGCCAATATGACAAGAAATTAATTGCAATTATTTCTTATCATTAATTGGTTACGACAGTAATTATAATCAGTTATAATTGTATAATAATTGGGTTGCAATTAATTTTTCAGTAAATCCAATTTCGCTGAATTTTTTATTTAATAGTGGTAGGAATTCTGAATTTTCCTTTGCAATATTTTTTTTATATATTTTAGACACAAAAGGCACTTGATATGAGTAAATTGCATGCTGATATAACTTATCAACATCGTTGTGAACCAGATAATCTCTTTTCTACTTTTTTAAATACTGCGTCAACACATGATAATACTGCAACTCAAATAGCACAT